TGGCCTTTGTGTTACAAGTGGCCGCTGCGCCGGCGGTCGGCGGCGGCCCAGTCCTGTCGTCTTGGCTTGTTGCGTCCAGAGCGCGCTCCTCCTCGGCGGGGGACGCACGGCGCGCGCGGCCGGCTGCTTGGCGCCGCGGCCGACAGAGGGCAGCAGTGCGTGAGCGGTCCGTCCGGGCCTGGCGGCCGCAGGTGTCCGCCGTGCCATGTTCTACTCGGCCTATGACAGTCTGCTGGCGGCCGGCGGCCGGTATAGCGCGATGAGCGCCTGTCCAATGCCGCTGCCACCGCTGCCGTTCGCCAAGCTGTGGAGCCCGTGGCTGCCCGATCCACGTAAGCGAACCTCGCCGGTGGCCGGCGAGGTAGAGGCGCCCCGGCCTCTCTGTCTGTGCTTGTGTGTGCGTGCGTGTCAGTGCGTGTATCGTATCGCCTTCTAGAGCTGCATGCGTTCGTACTTGATCCACGCTTGGGAGGAGGGCTGCGTGTTTCGACACGTCGCAGCATCTCGGCTGTCTGAAACCTCGGTGACCTTATCGCCCTCCGTTCTCTGATTCACGCTGGTGTCAGTTGGTGTCGGGTGATTCACGTCGGTGTCAGCCGGCGTGTTCATCCCGTGTAATAGCAGCCAGTGGCTCGTCGGGTGCCCGGTCCCCACGGCCTGTGCTGCCAGCTATCTGATTTTAATTAGGCGCCGGCCGAGTGGCCTCCGTGCATGCGATCTGGCCGGGCTGGACGGGCCGGAGCGGCCGCGGTGTCCGGCCGTCGCCGCTGACGGCTCAATATCGCCGGACAATGGTGACCTGGACTCGATTCGGTCGCCGATGATCGCTGTACAGGTCGATCGGCCGAGCGGATGGCGCGCCATTTGGATCTTTGTACCGCCGGTCTGCGAGCCAGTGATTCGACGGCGGCCGTCGGGCCGGCCGGCCGGCGCGAGGGAGCGGGACCGGCCGGCTCAGGTGGACCGGGGACGGGCCACAGGCGAGGGCGACGGTGACCTGTCGGCGGCGGGCATGAGTCACGCTGGGTGGGGTCGGTGGAGGTGGTCGGGACGCGGCAGACAGCTGACGGCCGGCGCTGATCCCAATCCATTGACCTGTCCGACGGGCCGCGGACGAACTGGCCGGTTGACCTGACTCATCGGTTAATTGACTTTGCCATCAATCGTCCGGTTGACCTGACGACCGATCGGTCTGCGGACCGGACGCCAATCGGTCGGGCAAGCTGGCGACCAATCGCATGGATAATCTGGTGACGTATCGGTCTGATGACCTGGAGGAAAATTATTTGACAGCTTCGTATCAGACCCATCAGCGAAGTCGTGACAAATTGTCGGTGTCCTATGCTGACGAAAAGTTTGACACCCGTCCACGAGAAGAAGCGTCACAGGAGGGAATGCTCACAGGAGGTGCTCCCTCGTATGAGATAGCATGTTGTATACGTTGCGTGCGTGATCTCCTTCAAAGCTGGTGGCTGTGGTCGCGTCCACAGTCTGGCACGCGGTTCTGTCGTCAAATTGGCATTCGCTGGCTCCGCAATTATTCAGCATGCATCGCGCTGACGGCGCTGGAGTTGATAGCGCATCATATGAGGCATCGCACTAAGAAGATTGAGACCGGAGACCTATGGAGTGAAGACCTGAGGACTATGGGCACCCGCTTTTCGCGGGGAAACTCCGCTCACCGGCGAGCAATGTCAAAGACTTCCGGCGATCATGGCCGTAATCCACGCCAGGTTCCGCGGCCCTTCCGTTTGGAGTCGGGGTGTCGCACCCGCGATAATCGCGGCCCTCACCTCTGGCCATTAGCGCCGCGCGTGTGCCATCCCTCGGCCGCCAGGGGTGCGACAGCCCGGGGTCGGTCGGGGCTGGCCCTGGCCACCTGGCCGGGTCGCCGGCGGCGGCGCCTCTCCTCCGGCCTGCACCGGATGCGCCCGACAGCGGCCCGGCTTATCGCCGCTTCACATTTCAGCGTGCCACTAAATCCGCCTCTGGTAGATTTCACTCGTCGGCCCGGGCGGATCGGCCAAATTATGGACCCTCCTTAAGATGGCTGACTGATATACAGTACATGAAACAAGCTGAGCGGCGAGGCTCGAGCACGCCAGTACCAAATCATTTCTGCTTCAGAGCGGCTGCGCGCCATCGCTGATTGCCGGCGGCGGCGGCCGCGCGGCGCCGCCGCCGATTCCGATGGCGCCCCGCCGGGCCGAGCAGCGCGCCGGCGGCCCGACCTCGCCCCGACTCGTCCCGTCACGCCGCCGGCCGCTCCCTTTATGGCCCTGTTGTCTCTGCCGTTACAGCCGCGCTGCCGGCCATTATGGACTTGCATGCCGTTAGGCGGCGCTCGACGAGCTGCCGGCCTCATGCGGGGGAGGTGGCCGCCGGGGCGCCGGGCCGGCCGGCGGCGGCCGCCGCCGCCGCCGCCGACGGAGCCGCTCATCCCGCTCCTGCCGGCTTTGTAGCCCATAAAGTACTCATTTTGATTTATACACCTTATCTGGGCGCGGCGACAATTCAGAGCGCACAGTCAGCGCGCGGTCGCTCGTGATTCGCTTCACGTGGCCTGTTCATTCGTGGCTGGACAGCGGCCAGCGGCCTCATATCCCGGCAGCCTCATCCGTCGGACGACCGTGCAATTTGCAGCCGAGATGACCGCTGATACCGTCGCCAATGCAAGCATTTGATTATGATATATAGTGTTAATAATATAAGAGCGATCTGTCGAATCGGGTGGCCGGATGGAGCCGGCATTAGCTTGGCCGGGTTTTCGTGCGGCCGGCCGGCCTGGCGCGATTGGCCGCACTCGAGCGGTGCGACGAGGCGGCCGGCGCGACAGCGGCGGGCCGACACTGTCAGCAGAAGGATGGCCCCTCGTTCCACGTCCGGACGCCGCAAATCTGCATTCGGAATGACCTTTCGGACCCGGCACCGGCGGCCGGTCAGCGCGTCTTCATTTGTCGGCCGGCGGGGCCACGGCGGCCCGGGTGGCCCGACCCGTTCGACAAACTTGTCGGTCCCTAATCTGTTCTTATCTGTGCCTGTGTCGAAGGGGAGAGAGGAATTTAAAAACGGAGTTAGGGGATTTGAGGGGTTGAATGGCTGATCATGTTTTTTTTCTTTTCATGAGTCATCTAAGAGTTGCTATTCATTTCCACGACAGACGGCAGCCGTGGTCCACTCTCCCTGTTCATTCGCGACCAAAGCATGCATGGGTTCGCGGTTTAATGGAGGTTCGTTCAGAACCGTGTCTGCATTACGATGGAAAATCACGTCCGTCTACATTATGACAGAACTAAATGTGTGTGTTTGTCAAAACAGAAGTGCTTTGTAGCATTTAAACCGGTAGGCAGTGTCTTTTGCACAGCAGAAGCTCCTTTAGGTTTGTATCATCACAACAGCGATTGCTTTGCACTAGTGATGTTAGCGTTTCCTCTGTACGGTGGAAGGGCCCGCGTATATGTTCCTTCCGTCCTGCAGGTGGCTGGTTATGTCCATACGTGTGCAACGGCAGATCTGTCTCTTACGTACCGTGATATCTCTGTTTGTGAGCGAGACCGCGGGCCGACGTGTCATCTTGTAGCTCACGGCAAGTGACGTTTTTCACAGAATTATATCTGTACAACCGCTGGTCGTATCGTCGTAAAATATTCAGCCGGACGTAGCAAAGTTTGTAAGATGTTGGGCTGCCGTATTGTGGAGGCACTTAAATGCAAGGTTTTTAATTGAACGTTGTGTATTTGCAACGTAGCAATACCACTGGTCTCTCATCTGCATATTTGATGCATGCAACATGTGGAACACAAATGTTGCAAATTGCGAAAATGCTAAGTTTTACGGGTCGAAAATGGTCCAAAAGAGGAAACAAACAATAGTGCTGGCTAAACTTTGTGCCACTGTTGCATTGCAACATGCATTAACTCAAATTATTTGTGTATTCTACAATACTTACATGGTAATGCATCTCAAAACATCATTGTAAATTGGTAATGTGTATCCGCAACATAGCAATATCACGTAAACGTTGTGTATTTGCAACGTAACAATATCACTGATCTGTCATCCACACATTTGATACATACAACATGAGGAACGTAAATTTTGCAAATCGCGAAAAAGTTAAGTAACACGGATCGAAAGCGGTCCAAGTATCGGTGAGGAGGTGCCCCCGGTGAGAGGAGGCTCATATTGATAGAAGAGGAAAGGAACGATAGTGCGGGCTATACTATGTGTCACCGTTGTATTGCAGCATGCATTTTCTCAAACTATGTGTGTATCCTACAATGCTATCATGGTCATGGATCCCAAAATATCTCTTCATATTTATCGCTTTCGTCACTTGAAATTATCAGGCCAGACCAGACTCCAGCCAGTCATTTTTAAGCGATGTCGTTGGTAAATTTTGGCTCGGACGTCAACGATCAGCGCACCTTTGCCTGTTAAACTCGTGAAAGGGGGATATTGAGATGCTGCTGTAAGCCCCATTCGCGTAAGCGCTCGCAGTCGACGAGTTTCCTGTACTGTCATCTAAAGATCATCCAACTGGTGAGACGAGACGAGTCAGCGAGAGACGAGACGAGACGAGACGAGACGAGACGAGTCAGCGCTCGTCTCGCCGGTCCCGCGCCGCAAAAAGCGTCTTACTGTTACAGTATGGCAATATCGCTTTGCTCTGAGTCGGCGGTATAATCGTCACAACTTCCTGTTTTGAGCGATGCCGTTTGTGAATTGGGGCACGCTACACAGTGTTATTGAAATGTTACCCGGTACCGGCACTTGATGTCCCAAACCCCGATTTCAGCAGTCCTCGTCCCCAACGCCATCGCTGTGTCTGTCGTTTGTAGCGTTCATCATCACCGCTAGTTATGTGCGCCGAATAACCAAGCAGTTGTGGGGCCCTAGGCCCACATCAGCAAACACCGTTCGGACGCCGCCATCGACGTGCGCCTGCCTGCCCGCCGCAGCTGTCATCCTCTGACGGGGTGTGCGTCTGTCCGTTGCAGTGGCGGCGCTGACGCTGAAGGGCGGCCTGGCCGGCTCCACCGGGCTGGGGGCGCCGGCGCTGGCCTCGCCCATCGGCCACATGTGCCAGACGTGCGGCATGACCTTCCCCTCCAAGGAGAAGCTGGAGGTGCACGAGGTGGGCCACGGTCCCCCCACGCAGGTGGTAAGTCCCCCCGCCTCCCACCCGCTGGTCCGTGTGTTCCCGGGACGGGCGTGAGTCGCGGCGGCGTCCCGCCGGCGCCGCGCGGTCGCCGGCCGGAGCCTGGCCAGATGTGGGAGCGCGGCGAGGAGCCACCTGCGGCGCCGGCCCACGGCTCGTATTGCCGTGAGAGTCGACCCGAATCATCTGAGATCGGCGCCGCAGACAGCACCTTGTGTCATCTGGCAGCAGGGGGGGGGGGGGGGCTGCGGCGGCGGGCCGGCGCGGCCCGGGGCGTCTGGCGGCCGGGGAGGGGCGCGCGGGGACGGCTGTAATTGGGGGCGGGCGCGGCCGGATCCGCCGGCACCAGGCGAATTAATGACCTGGTGGCCGGCGAGGTGTCGATTCCGCCGCCACGAGAGCGCGCGCCGGACAGCGACACGGCCCATGACGGATGTCAGATTCACAATTACATGGGTCCTTCACACCGTTATGCCAGAGCGAAGGGAAATTGGCAGCCGGAGTTAGTGGGCAGTGCTTAGTGGTGACCTGGTCCCGCTCGTAGCATTGAACACGCCCGCCGGCGCTTTTATGGGGCTTCCCCGCCACTGAGCGTGGAGAGCATCTCATCAGGGCTGCTTCATAATAGTCAAGCACACTATCAGCAATGGAGTTCTGGTGGCACTGGGAAAAGACCGAATAAGTTCTGGCTTAGTCCGGTTTGTGGGTACTGGAGAAATGAGAGCGCAAAACGGCCCAGGCAGCCGAAGCGCACTCTAATGTCAATCGTCATCATCGGACAGCGGGCAAACGGATAGACAGTGTGAGGACCCTGATGGATGTGTTAGCACACATTTGAATAGGCTTTGCTGCTGTTAACGTTTGGGAGGACACAACTTTTGTTTTGGTACAATAGGTGCAGCAACAGCACATATTTCTCTTTTCATCGCTTATCGTCGATCACCTCGCGTAAATTCGTAGCGGCTTTTGCGAAGGATGATGACCGCTGCTGTGTCTCAGTTAAAGTGGTGAACGCAGACAGATAAAGTCTGAAGTCACCAGACGTCCGAGAGTTTATTTTCCCTCATAGTTTTTTTTTTTCTTATACATGCACGATGTTCATGTATGTTTTTGAAATTCGCGGACAATGCAGTTCGCGCCTAGGAAGTAAAGCTCCTATCTACTTGCGCAACAGCGATTCAAAATATGTTGTGTCTTCATGATTGCAGGTCATGTCCTTATTTCCTGTCAACAAAATTGTAAAGGTGTATGCCAATATCTGACGTTCATTGACCACCTCATTCCCTACATGATACTTTTTATTATCTTGGCCGACAAGCATTATCAAAGAGTCGTTGATCGATGCCCAGTCGGAACGAAAGCGACCCCCAGGCTGCGATTTTCCACCGCAGCCGTCATTCCGGCCCTGCTACGTCTATGACTTCTCCGACCCATCCGGGCCACCTTTGTCAGCCGGGCTGCCGGCCGATTTTCCGCTGGCGTCGGCCTCAGGTCGGTCGTGCCCCCGGGAGCGTTTTTCGATGACACCGTGCTCGTTTCGAGGCGCCTTGCTTCTTTTTACGGGCCACATTTAGACGCTGTCCTGCCAGGAAGACGTTTTTGTGGCGAATAAAAAGCGTTTTGAGCTGGCTAGCTGTGTTCAGGTGAGACGGACGGTGTCGACGGCGCGCCGTTCATCCCCCCCCCCCCCCTCCCCCATGGGCGATGAAAAAAACTGCTCCTGACCAGCTGATGGGCAGAGTCGACTGCCTGCTGCCAGCTCGCCAAAGAACCGGAACAATGTTGCCACAAAAACGGTGACTGATTTTCAATCTATTTCTCAGCCACCGGCGTGCCAGTGGTCCTTTGTCTGAGGGGGTCATTGTCAGTTTGTTTTGGCGCTTGCCAGAACCGGCTACCTCTCGACCTGTTCACAAGACAGATGGTGCTGTTGTACTCGGCAACTCTGCGCAGCGGGTCTCGCCTGGACCGGTAGCTTTCGATGCCTCGCGCCCTGTGCGGACTGAACTCAAGCGGCTTCTTTGGCTTTGCGTGCATCAACTCTGAATGCAGTACTTTGACCGGCGAGCAAGGCAATGCAACTTATATTTGCAACGTCCTTCAAGTATGAACAATGTTAGCTGCTGGCTTTCGTGGTGACGGGGCTTGTGCCTGATTTTACTTCACCTAACCATTGTGCTAGATTCGTCTATCAGTCCGTTTTGGACTAGACGCGGAAGCGGCACACCTGGCATGCCCCACCCCTGTGCGTGGCAGCGAGCGAGTGGACTGGTATTTGAGTCGGCTGCGGAGCGGCGCGACACCGGCAGCTGCGTGGCGTCTCTGCACCCCGCCCTCGTTTTATCGCCAAGGTGCGCTCCTGCCGGCGATGCACCGCCGTATATTTATCTAGCATGGGCGGGAGCACTGAAAGATGAAACCCAACCTCAATGAGAAACCGCGCTGTGAAAATAAACGGGCGAGTCGGCGGCTGGCGCGGCCTGTGACTAATTGCCCTCAGACCGCGGCGCCGCCGGTGTCGACGCGTTCCGAAGGTAAGATACGTGGGAACGGCGCTTCGCCGCGGTCGGCGCGCCTCCCCGGCAGCTTCCAAACTGCGGCAGCGGCGGCCGCCGTCGCCGCCGCCGCCGCCGCGGTGTCGGCGTTTTCGGGAAGTCCCGCTGCCAGCTCGGCACGTCGCGTCTTGTATGCGTTATCAGCGCCGCGGCCGCCGCCTTTGTGCCGATACTAGACGGAGGCGGCGTGCAAACAGAAGCGGTACGGCTCGCTCACCGGTGAAGCCAGACCGACGCGGCCAAACTGCTGCGCTGGCGATTCTCCGCCCGGGGCGCGGCTCAAAGCCATTGACGTCGACCGCTTTGGGCTCTGGAGTGCCAGAGAGACCGTGAAGTGCCATATCTGCTCGGATTTATGGGGTGTTTTAATGTTTCTTCGGCATGACTGAACTGCTCTTTGGTCCTATCGCTTATAATGCGTGGCCAATGAACGCAGGTCGATGATGAACACAGAGTTTTATGGCTCTGGCGACGCAGAGCGTTGAAAGTCGGTTCGCGAAGTGACGATACGCGCGTCGGGCGCGTCTGAATTTCACTTGCGTCCTGTTTAGCGACGTTTCTCTGCGGAAATTTGGTAGGCGGCATGTTGGGATGGCTTTGGCATCAAACTCCATCCGAATGACCTGTTTCATGACATGGAACCAGGAGGCTACGTCCTGCGTGCCACCCTGACCCTCTCAAGCCAAATGACAGCTGGCCACCTTTGACAAGCCAAAAATTCAGCGTTATTCTGGGGCGTGAGTTCGCGCAATCCGCCATCACAGTGGTCGGGTGTCAACGCTCGGTCGCCCGAGTCACGGGGACGGCCATTAGCGCGTCCATTGCGTGGAGCGTCTTGCGTCAGGAGATTCGTGTTGAAGAACACCGCTTGTTGACGAACACTGCTTGTTGCGTCTGCAACGGGGATCAAAAGTTATAACATCTGTCGTCGGAGGGCGGATCACCAGCTACACCGTCGTGTACGGCAGGTATTCGACGCATTTAACTGGGGCCGGACTTGTGGTATGGGATGCCACCTCCCAGTCGCTATTTACCCTTGGATGATGTTTTACCGTTGAGTTCATCATTGCATGAGCTCTTCGATTGAGTGGGGAAGAGGCTGACGTTCCGGCGACATGATTTTTGGTACATATTTGACATACAAAGAACACATCTTTTGGAACTGGTCGAAGGATAAGCGTATATTTTGCTATTGGTCGCTTTTATGAGGCTTTATGCCGTTTCCAGATGAACACGTTCATTGCGTATGTCACGGCAATGCCTTTGAGCAACTTGCTGAGAGCTAAACACTCAGTGGTTCCTTGTTATTATTTGGCTTGCGATGCAAGCCCGAGAGTTGCCTCAATTGCTTGATTTCGGACCCTAATTCGCGGCTCCCAATGCATCGCGTATTGCAGTAATAACCCACTGAAGCCCCTCGTAAAGCTGGCGCGGACACGGCGTGATATATGTAACCAGTCACTGACTTAAGCCTTACCATGAAAGCAAGAGTCGCTTATAAAGCCGTGAATTTCTAGAGGTCAAGGGCTGCAGTGCCGCGGAGAGCCATTTTCACTACCATGCCCCTCTGTCCCGTCGCGCATGCACTCCCACATGCTGACGCTCTCAACGCTTCATTCGGAAAGACGGGAGAAGCAGATCCAATCATCCTGTGTTTGAAGGGAGCTACGGGCAACATCCCCAGACTCCGCTCGTGGGCTGCGGCCAAACCGAACACGCGATGGATGCCAGGGCGGTCGTGTTCCGGCCCAGTATTGCGCTAAACCGTTACATGGAACTGTCTTCTTCCAATCCGCCCGCGGAACTAGGTCCCACACTAACCTTCGAGCGTCGCTGGCCAGCTGTCTGACGTCCTTCGCTTTCCGTTGACAGTCCTGTCACGTGTGCAACAAGACGTTCGCCCACATCTACGGCCTGCAGCGACACATGATCAGTCACGAGGAGTCGGCAAACGTGCGCAAGTTCAAATGCGACATTTGCAGCAAGGCTTTCAAGTTTAAACACCACCTGAAGGTGAGCCTAGGTGCCGGGCTGGCGCGCCGCCGCCGCATACCAACCAGCCGAGCCCAGTGTCCGGGCCCTGCAGGTCGGCCTCTGTGCCCGCCGTCGTCTGGGTTGTGCGCTGTCGCCCGTCTGCCTGTCTGTCTCCCGCGGGCGAGGCTGGCCAGCCGGGCTGCGGCGCCCGTGGGAGCTGTGTTTGGCGATGTGTCTTTTGTCTTGTCCTTTTAAGACAAAAGACATGGCCGTGCGCGTTCTTCAACTATTTGCCGTTTGGCGTGGGGCTGGGCGCCTGTGATCATGCCATGGTTATGAATATTGCGACTGACGTAAATGAGCGCCACCTTGGGGACAAGTGCTGACGTCCGGACGCTGACCTCGTATGGTTGAGGCTTTGCACATATTCACCGCGCACTCCTCTTCTGCCTCTGTTTTGCGGCGCTCATTTTTATTTCTGATCGAAGTAGCTGGGTTGTTGTCTTCCGTTCCCTTTCCTTTCAGGTCAAGAGCGCCCATCCACATGCCCATGTTTTTCGAGGGAAAGCTGGATACGTACTAGCCCACTCCAGAAAACACACATATGGCTATGATACGCTAGAAGTATTGGAAGGCAATCTATCTTCGTTGAGCCTTTTTATGCGCCTGGTAGGCTTTTGTTCTTTTGTGCACCTGATAAAGTTTTGGCATTCGCATAAATTTATGTGCGTTGTTTGTGGATATGCATGTGGTGAGTAAAATGACTGATTATGCCAAAAATAAGTCGTCATGTTCGACTAGCGCACGCGACTGCTGCCTCTGACGCATCCGTCTGCTCCCGATCCAGGAGCACACCCGGATACACAGCGGCGAGAAGCCGTACGTCTGCACCGACTGCGGCAACCGGTTCTCTCACTCGGGCTCGTACTCGTCCCACCGCTCGTCCAAGAAGTGTCGCGGCCGCACCCTGCAGCAGAGCCAGGCCAAGGGCTCGCCGGCGCTGCGGTTCGAGCTACCGTTCCCGCTGTACACTGGCGGCCAGCCGGGCCAGGTGGCGGTGAGCGCCGCCGGCCTGCCGCCGCCGCCGGCGCCGCCGGCCGCCGGCCCGCCGCCCGAGCCGGTCGCCGCGCAGAAGCTCAGCGACGACGAGCTGCAGCGCAGCGTGCAGCAGATGGTCGACTCGGTGAAGAGCCGGATGGCTGGCGAGGCGCTCCGCGAGCGGCCGGCGCCGACCAGCCGGCCCGGCTCAGCGGCGCCGACCCCGCCGCCGGCGCTGCCCGCCGCCGCGCCGCCGCCGGCCGCCGCTCCGACCGCGGCGCCGACCACGCAGCCGGCCGCGCCGCCGGACAGCCGCGCCGATGACTGGCTGCAGTGCGGCTGCTGCTCGCGCAGCTTCGCCGAGCGGCGCGAGCTGGCGCGGCACGAGCAGCTGTGCCGCGCGGCCGTGCCCGAGGGCGAGCGGCTCAGCGAGGGGCTGGCCGCGCGACTCAGCGAACTCATGGCCAAACAGCAGAAGACCACCGGCCCCGGCCCGGAGGAGACCAGCGACAACGAGTCGTCGCAGCACAGCGACGATGGCCAGAAGCAGCGCGTGCGCTACAAGTTCTCGGACGAGCAGCTGCTCGTGCTGCGGACAAGCTACATCATGAACTCGAAGCCGCGCCGCGAGGACGTCAACCGCATCTCGGAGCGACTGGGCATCTCGCCGGAGGTGGTGCGCGTCTGGTTCCAGAACACGCGCGCCCGCGACAAGCGTGAGGGTAAGCCGTTCGCGCTGCCGTGCTTCCCGGCGGGCCTGGTGCGGCCGACGGCCGAGCGGGCCGCCGCTGCCGCCCGTCTACTCGGCCGTGCCTATGTTCTACTCGCCGCTACCTCACCTGCCGTCCCTGCTGGCGCCGCCCACGCCGCCCGAGCAGTACGACCAGCCGCTGGACCTGTCCACCAAGCGGTCGCCGGCCGGCAGTGCGTCGCCGCCGCCCGTCAGCGACGCCTCGTCGCGGGCCTCGACGCCGGTGGCGCCGCCTGACGAGCGGCCACCGCACCACGAGCCGCCAGGCGGCGCGCCGCTCTACCTGCGTGACGAACGTTCCTGCTCGCCGCGCTCGCCGGCGCCGCGTCCGCTCGGCGCCGCCGACACGCCGCCGCCGCCGCCCGGCGCTGTGACGTCCGAGGGCGGCCCGATGACGTCAGCGGTACAGCAGCTGCTGCGCGCCGCCGAGCAGGAGATATACGCGGAGACGAGGAAGCGCCAGGTGAGTGCTGTGGTGGTTTGCGGGATTGCGCGGTCTGTTCTGGTGCCGACCTGCCCGCTGCGAGTACCAGTAAGGTGTGAATATCTCTATAAGCAGCCGTTTTGCAGGAATCGGTCGAGTCTGCTCCGTAAGCAACCTATTTTGACGTTCACGTAAATCGCAAGGGTCGCTCGCCTCCCACCGCCAGTCCGCGCACGAGTGGCACTACCTGCGAGCAGCCACACGCGCTTTTAACGACTGCCGCGTGTCGTGCCGCTCGGCGCGTAGCAGCCCGCGCGGCGTGTCAGTGTCGACCCGCCGGTGACGGTTCGCTGCGTCTGTGCGTCCGCAGCAGGCCGAGCTGAGCGGATCGGGAGACGACTCGTCCAGCGAGACGGGCAAGAAGCGGCGGCTGGCGCGGCCCGGCGAGGACCTCTTCCAGTGCGACCAGTGCGACAAAGCCTTCAACAAGCAGAGCTCGCTCGCCAGGCACAAATACGAACATTCCGGTGAGTCAGCGACCTCTGCCGCCGCTCCGCAGAGGCCAGCTGATCCGCGCAGCAGCCCGGACTGGGCAGGCTCAACTGTTGGTCGCCAGAGGTCTTGATTGGCTGACTGCCGCCAGAGTTGTTCCGCATACGCGCAGTGGTGTGAGCTTATTCACCGAAGGCTGCTGGGAAACCGGAAGATGGGCAGGCCGTTGGAGTGATGGTGGTGGTAGCGGAACCGCAGGCCCCGTAACGGTCGCTTGCCGCCACCTTACTGCAACTAGAGCGCAGTTTTTCGGACGTCACGTCCAGAGTCGCACGCTATGCGACTTTTTAGGGGATTCTTCGAACATCGTCGGGTTTGGTAAAGTGATCCAGTTCCTTCGCGCTATAGATTTTCCTGTAATCTTCTCATCATGATGCTAGGGCCGATCATCATGGCTCTATAGGGTGACCTGATTGATGCACTTCTCTGATTGACGGCTCTGCATGAATCGATAGTTATGGGCGCTGCATGACCTCTAGCAGTCGATGCGCCCTAAAACTCCAAATCATCATCATCAACGTGGACATACGTACGCCCGCAGAATGCTCACCTCTCGCCCTGTCTGTGGTCCGCAGGCATGAGGCCGTACAAATGCGAGGACTGTCCGAAAGCCTTCAAGCACAAGCACCACCTGTCGGAGCACAAACGTCTCCACAGCGGCGAGAAACCATACCAGTGCAAGAAATGCCTCAAGCGCTTCTCCCACTCGGGCTCCTACAGTCAGCACATTAATCACCGGTACGCCTACTGTAAACCGTACCGGGAGTAGACCAAATCAGCTGAGCCCGGCGCGTGCGGAAGCCATCAGCTGGTGGCGGACCGGCGCGCCGGCTCTCTATGTATTCCATAATGATAGCGCCAACTCGTCGACATGCGATGGTTTTATCGAAATTACAACGACATAATAATTGTTACGATGCAATAAGGTTTCACCGTGCGTCTCCGATTACTGTCTTACACAGATGTGGACTGTGATGGATGAGGAGAAAGATATTACCCCCTCATCCGTGCCAAAACTCCATAGCGTATTATTTTTGACGGTCGGTTCTATTATGTCTTAGGCAGTATGTCGTTAGAAATGTGTAAATTTTATGTAGAATAGACATATAGTCTGTGAGCTCTTCAGCTGTGCCAAATGACATAGAACATAGCTTTAGTCTAGTAGCGATGTCGCAAGAACAGTGTACTACTGTTTCAGACAATCTGTTTCCAGTGTCGGTCGTGTCTTACGCGAGTGCATTTGTCCGTGTGCATGAGCGGTCACGAACGAGAGGTGGAGCAGGTCACGTGGGCGAGTACCTGGTAAAATACTCATGTGCGGGCGTGTTCGGGGTCTGCCCCGTCGGAGCCTGTCCAGTTTGTTCTTCATTTACCGCTAGTCATTGTGGTGCCAGGCTTCGTTCGTGCTCTCCAGCGCACACTTGTGCGCGTGCCGCGTGTAGAAATTTATCGTGACTCAGGTGGCCATAGCCACGTCCTTGGTTCGGCTTCCGTTGCGGTTATCCGTTTGCCGTGGCCTGACCGTGCCTTGCCTCGGGCGACGGCCGCGGCGCAGTCGCCTGTACATACTCCGCGGCCATGCAGCACACAACGCGTACCGTAGTGCGGGGGGCGGCCGCTAGGGGCGCCGGCGTCGCGCCCGGCGCCCGCCAGCGCGCCGACTGTGAATAGCGCGTGGGTGAACGATAGTGCTTCCATACGGTGTCGAGCAGGGACAGGACGCCATGTGCCAACGATAGCCGTGCCAGTAGATGTCTCAGTCGGTCGGTCGGTGTGACTAGCAGACCTCAGCGTAGGGTGCAGCAATGTCTCGTCGTCAGTGGCGGCCGGGCGGCGCCGGCCTGCCATCGTACAACTGCAACACATGCATTCCATTTACGGTGGCGCGCCACTCAATAAGTTTATTTTCGTACTGGCCAAATTTACTGGAAGGCGTTGCCTAGTTTGTCTTTCAGTCGCCGCCATTCCTCCAACAGCCGTGCAAGCTTCCGAAATCGCTGCCGTGTGTGCCAAAATCCTCGGTAAATTCGCGCCGACTCGCCGCATCGGATAATCTCGAGCTTCCAGACGTTTCGTCTTCGGTGTCGTAGCTCTAGCCACGGCCGGCGAGGCCACCGCCGCCGCAAGGTTCTCACAACGAACTTGTACATTTGATAATTGAACGGTGCCATTAAATGAGTTGTGTCGGTAGCGTGCGAGCGGGTAAGTGCGAAGCTAAGTGTCGTGTGCATAATGAGTCTTCTGTGTGTAGCAATACGCGCTCGGTGCGGGCGCCCCGCCACTGGGCGACTCCATCCGGCCCCACTTCCCCTCTGTACAGTCGATGTCCTCCCACCTCTCACTAGATCCTCTAGCTCTTCGTCGCCGTTGTGCAATAATCCCGTGTCCTCTCTCTGACTCCCTCTCTCTCCTCTGTCTCTCTGTCTCCGTCTGCGCCGCTCCGCCCGCGCCGCCCGGCTGCTCTCGGCGCTCACCTGCTGTAGTCGTCTCGGTACTCAATAAAACGGCATGACACACGGAGCCTCTCCGCTGCCGCCGCACACTCGGCCGCTAAGACACTTCACATGTATTGATTCCGGTCACGCTGCGGGCCGCCGCGGTCGGCACCCGTACAAAACGCGAGCGGCGCTAGAGGGGCGGCGAGCAGCGGCGGCGGCGCGGCCCGCCCCCGCCTGGAAAGACTGTCTGGCCGTGGCGGCGTGGTCCCGGCCGTCGGCCGTCCGCCGCCGCCGACCGGCGGCGCTACGTCATCATGGCCGAGTCGCCGAAGCCGGGGCCGGCCGGGCCGCCCTGGCCCGTCGGGCTCCTCGACGGGTCGTTCACGTCCCGCCGGAAGGTGGTCAGGTTCTGCGTGAACCTGCAGGCGACCGGCGGGCGCGGTGTCACAGGCCGGCGCAAAGCATGGCGATATGCGGCCAGCCAGCCGGCCTGCATCCATGCATGCATAATACGCAGTTCCAAGCCAGGCTCATGATTGGCAACAAGTGGTTCGCGCTAAAAACTGGACATTGCACTTCAGCTCTGACGCTCATGACATCCAGCTGCAACCCACGATACGCGCAGCTACAAAAGAAGAAGTCCACCAAGCATCATCAGGACCACCGCTAGAGCAGGCGTTAGTGACCTAGGCCCCAGCGCACCGCCCGCCAGCTGGGAGCCGGCCTCCTCACCTGTCCCGGTTTTTGGTGAGCAGGTTGCGCTCGATGCCGTCCATCAGCGAATCGAAGGCGGCCCGGATCGCCGTCTGGCGGTCCGGAGGGTAGCTCGCGATCATCTGCTCCCGTAAGCTGGCGAAGTACTGCGGCCCACGGCACCAGACGCCACCGGTCACGCGTCGGCGACCACCCGGCGCCACAGTCACACGCTCAGCCGCCTGCCCGACTGCTGTCACGCGGTCCGGGGCACAGCGGCACGACACGCGCTCAGGACGACAGCAGGCTCTGCGGCGCCGGCACCGGCCCGGCCTCGGCGGTGCCGTTTCGGCCCTTCAGTTTGCCTCCACAGCACGGCCACCGGCCGACAAGCAGCAGCACAAGCGGCTGGCACTGCGCCCGAGCCCTGCCTAAACGTCCCCTGACGCGGCGGTGGTTCAGACCTAGCCAGACCGGGCTAGCCCCTGCCGCACCCACCTCCTCGTTCAGCAGGATGAGGCCCAGCAGCGGTCGCGACATGGACCACTGGTTGCGGCAGTCCTCGTACATGATTATGTTGAGCACGGTGGCCAGCAGCCGCTGCAAGATCTCCGGGTGCAACTCCAGAATCTGCAGGATGGCCTGGCCGCTGGCGTTGTGCGCCGACTTCTTCTTGCCTGCACGGCCGGCCGGCCGGCCGAGCCACGTTAGCCACAATACCCCATCACGCGGGACCGGCCCGCACACATAGCTTCTGGCAAGGCTCATGATACGCAACCACCTACGATTGCCGTTTTTGAATACACTGCTGCAATCAAGTTCCTTGTGCTGTTTGGGTTTGACCTGGCCACTGCCGCCATCACCTACTGGCATCACGTGCGTGAACAACACAAACATAACCGATATTATCAATAGGTCTTAGAGAAGCTCCAAACCGGCACTTGCTCGGAATGTGTGACGCCAAAGTTGTTCCACATGCTTAACTTAACCTTCAATCACAACAGTGAAAATGATTTGACGTTTGTGACCCACCGCCGACCACAAACGCCAGCCCAACAGCCGGGCGGGGCCGGGCCGGGTCATCTCCCTCAGCCGTCGTCGCAGCGCCGGAAATGATCAGGCGCAGAAGCCGCTCCAGTTGATGGCCATATTGATGGAATGTGCCAATTTCCCAAGGACAGCCGTCATTTCCGACCGGGGTCGACGCCAGTCATGACGGCACGGGAATCACACCGCAGCGACGCCGGGCGGCTCTCAATCCGCCGCCGGCCGCTGACCTGGCTGCGCACTCTCCGACTGTCGGGTGTGAGCCCGGCCGCCCGAGCCTCGACCGCCAGCTCAGCGACCTCGGCCGCGGAGGGGACCACGCGACCCGACTGGCCCGGCAGCAGCCACTGGCACAACCCACCTTTGAGAGCCAGCTGTTTGAACGTGAAGGTGACTATATGGTCGAGCGTGGCGCAGCAGCCGGTGCACACCATCGTGTCTGAGGACGCGGCAGCGGACGGGGTGGTCAGTCGGCGGAGGCGCCGTCAGTGCCGGATGGACCGGCCGCGCCGGCACCACAAACACCCGTACACACTGCACTACCCTGCACTACAACGGCACGGCGCGCGACACCGGTTAGCACATCAAGGCTGGTGAAAAACGACAGCAATGTCTCGTTTTGCACACCCAAATGGCCAAGCCATACAGAACAGGCACGGAATGTTTGGCATCTGCCTTCAAATACCACCAAATACAGAGGCCGTTCCATGAATACGTTGCAGTGCACGTTCTATTGTTCTGTGCATTTCATTTTCATCTTAAACTGGCAACCATGGGTCAAATTACCCCCCTTCTCGCATGCTTCTGATGGGAGATAAACTCGACTGTTTCATGTTACCCTGCTGTCTTGTGACCAATACACTACTGACCTGTAAACGAGGCCTTGGCAAGTCGGGAGAGGGCAAAGAGGCGGGAGGGGCTAGTGCTTCACAAAGTCCGGTGTTATGCCTTCCCTCCCCCTCCCGGCACCAGCAACAATCTCGTGGACAGCTTGGCACCTCACATAACCAGCGTCATCCTCTCATGGGTACCGGTTGACCGTGACCAGTGGGCTGTCTGGCGTCGGGTTGTGTTTGACGTTGTCCCCAGCCAGGTGCCCGCATGTCACCTCATAACTCGGTCGTCACCGTCGCCACACGCTGGTGGATTCAGCGCCAGCGGCTTCTCCGTCAGGAATCAGGCCCCGATGAATCTGAATCACCGCAACCTTCATCTCCAACCATAGTCAGACGATTTTGTCACGTCTTATTTCTATTATCGATATAGCGATATATATATATATATATATATATATATATATATATATATATATATATATATATAAATCAATTTGGCGATTTTGTGGTTCAAGAACAGAGCAACTTCTCGTTGGGACATACCGACATTGGAACATAGAATAAATTAAATATTTCTATAAGAATGCCTTCGCGGATTATCCGTAGAAGCAAGAGTTTGGCCAGACTTCAATTTCACCATCTGCCGTCGAGGTAATCAACCGGTTTCCGAGGTCGACGCCGTCATACTGTCAACACACGATTAAATTCCTGCACCTAAGAGTCAAGGAGCAGTAAGATGCAGCGACAATAAGGACGCTCGTAATAAGGTTTTAACAATACACGTTACCACAACGCTACGAGTTAAAACAATCATTACAAAACTATGTCGGCCAAAAGGCGAATGCTTCGCATCTACCAACAAGCCATGCACTTTCCTCCCAGCATCCGAACTCACGTCATGAAGGCGCGCCGCAACACCACCTGGCGCCCAGAAGGTCGTCCGAATCTCAGCCATATTGCCCGCCTCTGACACGGAGC